CATCTGTGTGGCCAGTTTGGTGACTCAACCTGGGTTGGAGGTCAAGGATCCACTGGAGAATATAATGGAATCTGGTGAGAGGTGTGGACTTGCTCTTCCTAAAAATAACCAGTCCTCATGTCCCTAGGAGTCTGGTGATTTGAAGGTAAAAAATTGGTTGATCTGCTATGAAAACCACAATTAGACCCCTTTTGAGTGATTCTAGCTTGTATCTTATTTTGAGGCCAAACAGCTGGAATGAACAGAGAGAGAGAGAGAATTAGGGGCTGTCATATGCTACTAGAAGATAATTCCTTGTTACACAGTCAGCTCCTTTCTGAAACTCTGAGGGTGGTTTTTATGGCAAAGAATAAATATCCTATAAAGGTATGCATGCTCTGTGCCTTTCTCTCTGCTCAGAATGCCCTTCCCACAGTTCTGCTCAAAGACAACTCAGAATCTTTCTTCAACATGCTCAACTGTCATTGCCTCCAAGAAATCTTCCCTGAATTCTCAGCTGCACTTATGTCTGTCCTTTGTGCCCCACAGTAGTATGTTCCTAGGTCTGTCATCACATCACATTGCTGTAGTGACTTGTCTGCTCATCTAATGCCTCCTCTACCCCCCACCAAACTGTAAGCTCATGTCAGGTTCAGTATCTGACTCATCCCACATCCCCAGTGCTTCATGAGCTTTGTACCCACCAGATGCCTGGTCACTGTGGGCTAAACTGAATTGCCACCCCCTAGACCCCTCTGCACCAGACTTGTTTACCAAGGTGGGTACCCATGTATCTCTCTGAAGCCCATACCCTCTCCCCTTGCCCAGCACCACCCCACTCCCCAACCTGGGTATGTGAGCATTAGAAATCTATCAGAATGAGTTGCTGCTTGGCTATTCTGAGCCTGTTTGTAAACTTTGTGCACATTCAGATTTAGGATCAAATAGGATTAAATAAGACTGGCAGTGTGCAGTAACTCCAAGGCTGGTTGCCATTTACAATAAGGCAGCCACGTAAGTGCCTGATGCGCTCCAGTGGTTTCCAGAATGGAAGTAATAGAATTTCTGTAGTTAAGCAGCTGTCACTCCTGGGGCCGGGAACACTCATGTATAAATCTGTAATATAGAAGGGTCATGATGGGGACCTGGCAGAAGGGTTAGAAAAGGTAGGGTTATCCCAGGCCCTAGGGCTGGTCTTGGCCTTGGGACCAAAATTGCCCAAGCACTGAAAGTGGCATTTCTATAGTGTTCTCTCTCTTCATTTTTCTTTGGTCAGAATGCAATTTGCGTGGGAGCTGGGGACAAGCCCATGAATGAGTATCACTCCGTCGTGTACTATCAAGTCAAACAGCCACGCTGGATGGAAACAGTCAAGGTAATAATAACTAATAAATAATAATAATAATGATAATAGCAGCAGACATGTATCTAGTTCTTACAATCAACCAGGAACTCTTTTTCAGTGCTTTATTTAAATAATCCATTTATTGCTTACGACACACCCTGTGAGGTTTGTATTAAATATTTCCCTCATTTTATAGATGAGGAGACTGTGGCACAGAACAGGTGAGTGGCTTGCGTAAGATCACACTACTAGTAAGTGTCAGAGCTGGGATTTGAACCTGTGCAGTTTGGCTCTGGGTCTGTGCTCTTCACTGCTACCTGAGGGAAGAGGAAACAGACTGGAAAAATTAGCATTCTTTCTCGTTTTTATGAGAGCAGTTGAGCAAGGTAGTGGCGAGCATGGACCCTGGACCCAGAAGTCAAGCTTTATATTTCAGCTCTACCATTCACCAGCTGTTTGACCTTGCGCAAGTCATTCAACTGCTCTGTGCTCTGTTTTCCTCCTCTGTGAAATGGGAACAATAGGATGACTGTGAAAATGAAAGGATTTAATACACATAACACTCTCAGAAGAGTCCTTGAAAGAGAGTACACATTCCATAAATATTACTCATGATCATACTTGGCAGTTTTCTTAGTTTGGAAAACCAAACTGGATTTCACACTCCTTTGAGATGCCCTTCTAACAGTTGACCCTTTCCCTTTTTTTTTTTTTTTCACCCACGCCTCTATAAGGCAGTCTAGTTTATAGTGGTAGGCAGCGTTGTGTCAGCTCTGGGTAGTGGGGGAATGGGGGAGAGACAATGTAGTAGTTCCAAATTCGTGATGCAGTCTCCCTCGGCAGTCTAGTTTATAGTGGTAGGCAGCGTTGTGTCAGCTCTGGGTAGTGGGGGAATGGGGGACAGACAATGTAGTAGTTCCAAATTCGTGATGCAGTCTCCCTCAACGTCCTTCTTACATAGCATTTCTCCCCCAAAATGTTCTGTGGAATACTAAGTGGAGTTTTATTAAAATAATGATCCCTGGTCAAATAAATGTGGGAAATGCTGAGAAATTGGAGAACAAGTATAGAAGTCAAAGGCTTCTTTATTTCAGATTCTCAGAACCTTCATGATATAAACGCACTCTGCAGATCTGCAAAAGGGAGAGATAGTGCAGAGCATTTCCCAAACATCATCAGCCACGGAGCATTTTCTCTTTTCCCAGCATCATATCCCAGGGCTAGTATTCTGTTGAACATATTTTAGCGATTCCTTGTTCTAATCTAAGCAGGTGGGAGGCATGATGGACCCATGTCATTGTGAGCAACAAATGAGAATATATCACATTTTTCCTCATTAAATGTCCAGCTCACTTCTGGGGCCAACTATGAACATTCTTACTGGAGGAATATAGAGTGACAGAAAGAATCTTCTTTAGCTCTAGGTTATAGCAGAAGTCACCATCCGTAAGGGCATGGGGTCCTCTGAGGCTCCTCCCTGGATCTGAAATAATACCCTAGCATGTGTTGGTGGCATGTGGGGCAGCAGAAATGATGGCCCAATGAGTGAGCACCCTGGTTCTCTTGATCACCCCTCACTGGTCCAGGACCTAACCATCTGGGAATTGTAGACAATCCTGTCATGGACGGTGCCCAACCCATCGAGCTGTGCCATTCTCCTCAGCAGTGAGTCGGGACAGAGCTTGCAAGCAAATGTGAGCCTAGGAAAGTGCAGGTAGTGCCTACAAAATGTCCTTTTGGGATGCCTGTCTTCTTTATAACTGCCTCTTATCCCATTGCTCTCAATATTCACATTTTCCCCAGGCAAAAGTGGCATTAACCAGAAATATTTGCATTACCAGGTCATCACACTAAGCAGAAAGGAATAACCTGCATTGGAATAAGAGTCTGGAATTAATTCAGTAAATGCCGAAGCTTGATCACAGCTTCAAATATCTCTGTCTTAGTAGCATTCTTTACTCACCCTGTGCTCTAGCTCCAAACTCAAGATATACACATGACTTCCTTTTCAGTGATAGCTATTCAAACCTCAATGGTTCCTGCCTTGTCATGTATTCCTATATTCCTCAGTGGGTTTCCCCAGACTCACTCTCTTTAAAATGACAACCTGTCCGTCTTTGGGGTCAAAAGTTATTAGACTGGTTTTTTTTTCTCTTCTCTGTGCTCTTTTGCACCCCAGTTTTTTTTTTTTTTTTTTTTTTTTGGCAGCTGTCTGGTGCAGGGATCCGAACCCTTGACCTTGGTGTTACCAATGCCCAGTTGTTTCTCTTTGCTAGCCCTTATCGCATGCTGTTATATGTCACCACACATGGATCACGAACTCTTTGAGCATGAGGACTCTGCCTTATATCAGCATGGCAGTGCCTTTCACGATTGTAGTTTCTAGTAACCATTCAATATGCAGTGAAAGGATGGATTGAACTGCAGTTACCCATAAGGTTGTCAGTTCTTTAGCTCTGTCTGAAAGACAGACAGGATGGTGGGCCTCCTCAGGCTTAAATTCCATTGTCTGAAACAGAAAGTGCTCCAATGTATACATCTGTTTTGACTTTTAATAGTCATCTTTACAGTGCAAACTTGTCCCTTTTAAAATCAAAGTGTTTTTCTCACCGTAGCTAAGCTTCCCTGCATTGGCCTGAACTGCACACTGCAGAAGAGTTGTGAGGCTTGAAAAGGCAGGGTAGTCCAGAGCCAGGTTGAAAGCATCTCAATTAATGGTGCCTGCAGACCTCTCACTGGATGGTGGTTCTGGAATGACAAGTGGATGATTGCCTTAGCTCAGTGTCCTTGGAAGCAAAAGCATCCAATCATGTGTCCAACCAAGGATGGGATGAGCCCTAGGATTTTTCCAAATATTATTGGATTAAAGCATTTTTATTAATTTGCATAAATGAGAGTCCTCAGGCAAACCCCCTAATGACCATTGTTAATTTGCTAAGCCCTGCTGCAATTGCCAGAACTCCTGGAGTGTGTAAGGAAAATGTGCATCATGCATTGTGCAGTGCATCAAATCCTGTGCTAAAGTTATGTGACTTTTATATCAATTTGGGGAGATTCATTTTTCCTTGCTATAATTTACAGACCTCTTTTCATTGGCTGGGAATGCAATTTGGCAAATGGATTACATTTGGTACTTTATTTTCTCTTCATAGCTAGTTCTTATGTAATTTATTTACAGTTCATCAGCCTTGATAGATGGATAGTAAATCAGCAGGCAGTGCTCTCAGTTAAATGGTCAGGCTGCCTTTGGGGGTAGGGTAGAGTCGGGAGGGCCACTTAACTCATTGTCTCCTGAGCTCTGGTTTCTGCCTGCTAAGGTGGCTGTCCCTATTGAAGACATGCAGAGGATCCATCTGAGATTCATGTTTCGACATCGGTCATCCCTGGAATGTGAGTACCCAACCAAATAGAGTATCTGCAGCATCCCTAAGGGGAGAAGAATGGGATAGCTGACTGCCCCATATATCATTTTCTTTTCTGACCTCACAATGCTGTTTCCAGCTAAAGATAAAGGAGAAAAGAACTTTGCCATGTCCTATGTGAAGCTGATGAAAGAAGACGGGACTACTCTGCATGATGGATGTCACGACTTGGTTGTCCTCAAGGTACCCCGAGTTGGCACTAACTCTGCAGTGAGGGGGTATGGGAAGTGAAGAAGTGATGGTAAGATTGCTTAATGACTAACAGCAGGGACCCCAGAATCATACACAGCAGGGTTTACCAGCTGTGTGGCTGTGTACAAAACCTTAACTTCTCTGCACCTCTGTTTCCTCATCTACGAGCCCTCAGTGACTGATTGTAAGGACTATATGAGGCAGTACATGTGCACAACACACTGATGGGTACATGGGAGAGCTAAGTAAACGGAAAAAGTTATTGTTATGTACAGAAATGGGCTCATGACTGTGTAAGGGCCTCTGCGGGATGCCTAGAAGACCCACAAGAAACATTTGAGAGATCCTGCACCATAGCTAATGGAAAAATAGTGGAATCTGGGTTCTGATGCTACTGCTGACTAAATCTGGAATCATCTCACATGTCTTCCTGAGTCTCAGTCTACTTTTTCTTAGGCAGTGACAGTAATATTTATGACCACTCAATGAGAAGACCCATGAGAAAGGGCCAGGTAAGCTGTAAAGGGTGTGCAGATGTCCACTGTTGCTATTTTTGCATCGTGAGACATGGACTGTTTTCGATAAGCAAGGAAGTGCTTGCTTTGCTCTTACCTGCGTGCCTTCCCACACCCCCTCTCCTAACAGCACCCGGCTGGAGGCAAAGTGTGTGGCTGTGAGATATGGCAGGGTTAAGTGGTCAGCACAGGGGCCAAACCCTTGCCCTCAGTTTTGTCAACCTCATCAGCTGAAATTGCCTTTCTCCCTGTGATCTGCATGGCAGACACAGCCTCATCAAGGCCCTCATCCTATGGTAGTCTTCTCTGAGTCTCTCTGAGTACTCCAGAAAACCTCTTTTCTTCCATAAAGCCTCTGTTGTCTCATTTATTGCACATGGAAGTAGTTCTTGGCTTGAAAACCATTCTTCCTGGGCAGATTGTGAACTCCTTGGGGGTAGAGGCCTACCTGCAGTCAGTTTTCTTTTTACTTGCCCTCATTAAGTCTCAGTTTCCTTGTCTGTTAAACAAGGATGATAACAGAATCTGCTTCATACTATTGTTGGGAGGCTTAAATGGAGCTAAGGCATATATAAAGGAGCTGATGCAGCTACTGGTGCAGGGTAAGAGCTCAGTCAACGTCATCTCCTGTAAAGCTACCTTTAGACGATCATTTTAGCATACCAGGGCACTTGAGTATCTATCACTCTGCCCGGGTTCTGCATGCATTATCCCATTTAGTCTGCTCAGGAGTTCTAGGAAGGAAGAAATATGATCATCCTCAGTTTATGCATGAGAAAAATGAAACACACAGAAGCTAAGGCATGTATCCAAGATGGCATCGACTTGTGAATGGTAAAACAGGGTCTAGATCCCAGGATGCTTTGACCTAGTGCCTTTTCCATTAACTTCTACATTAAGCTGGATTCCTTATCTTGCTGGTGGGCATGTGTTATGATAGCAAAAAGGTTAGAATAAATTAAAAGGGCCTGTCTGGAAATCTTCAATTCCATTTTTGTCATTAATGAAGTTTACAGAGCTTTCAACTGGTTGATCAACCCCTTTTCCATTAATGTAACTTTGGATTCTTGCCTAGTTTGTGAAAAAACAGCCCAGCTTCACAAGCTGATGTTTATTGCTTCTCTGGTGATTTTCCTCGCTATCTCTGACCTTCCCCACCTCACAGTGTGTAATTTGGCCACTGCAAGCTCTGGGCAGCTTTGGGTGTGTGGCCTTGGCTTGGGGTGGTAACCAAAGTGTTGTTTCCAGGGGGACAGCAAGAAGATGGAGGATGCTAGTGCCTACCTGACTCTTCCATCTTACCGACACCATATGGAAAATAAGGGGGCCACCTTGAGCCGCAGCTCCAGCAGTGTTGGGGGGCTCTCTGTCAGCTCCCGGGATGTGTTCTCCATTTCCACCCTGGTGTGCTCCACAAAGCTCACCCAGAACGGTAACAGGGTCACCAAGTGTGGCTTGTGTGCATGTGTGTGGGTGCAAGGGCACACAAGCCCAGGGAGGTCCTGAGAGGGATGGTTGAGGCCAGTAATCATAACTCTGCTTGTCTGGACTCTGTTTTAGTGGGCTTGCTGGGTTTGCTGAAGTGGCGTATGAAGCCTCAACTGCTACAGGAGAATTTAGAAAAGTTGAAGATCGTGGACGGAGAGGAAGTGGTGAAGGTCAGTGTGGCTTCATTTTACTTGTGTCCAGCCACCAGGGATAGAACTTTAATCATGGGTGGCTCCAGAAGAGAAGCGAAGTGTGGAAGGAGATGGGACAATTTTTTTCTGACAGTGGGTCACACTGTCCCAAGTTACTATGAGAAATCTTTATGGGGAGATTCAGGGGGGTGACTTGGTTCAATGGCATTGAATATTGAAAGGTAGAAAACAATAGCTGTGCTCAGTCTCTGGAAATAGATCAGCCTGGGTGTAGATCCCAGCTCTCCCACTTGCCAACCTGATGTGATAATATTATGAATGTGACATAGTTCTCAGAGTTGTTATGAGCATTCAAGGTGATAATATTTAAAAACTACTCAGCACAGTCTATTAGAGATTGTACACAATAATTGGACTAAAGTATATAAAACACGAAATTCAATAAATAGTAACTATTAATTATTTTTGTTATATGTTGCTATGCATAGCAGTATGATCTCAGTACTACATGCACATTATTGTTAGAAATAAAAGGTATTCTTGGTTTCTGCTGCTTGGAAAGCATTATGTATTAATGATAAAAAAGGGGAAGACATCAGGGCTCACATTTTAAGTAAAACAAGCAGAAAACAATGTAAATGTCAGGTGTATTACTGTGTCCTCATGGTAGTGGAGAATATAAAGCATCTCAAGTGCAGATCTAATTAAAGCAATCCTCCTCTCTAGCACTATGAACTGGGACAAGTGTTTCCCAGCAGTCCTGGTGATCTTGTTTCCATCAGGAACTTGGTACAGCTAGAAACATTGAGATTAAACATCGTTAGGTTGTAGTTCTGTGTTTTGAGGAATTGCAGGAAATATTGACCCATCCCTTAGGAGGGAGGGAAATCAGTTTTATTTAATTGCCCATGCCTGGAGAAGCATGGTAGAAAAACATTGAGATTAAACATCGTTAGGTTGTAGTTCTGTGTTTTGAGGAATTGCAGGAAATATCGACCCATCCCTTAGGAGGGAGGGAAATCAGTTTTATTTAATTGCCCATGCCTGGAGAAGCATGGTAGATTTTATAGATCAATGCTTTAAATGTGCACTATTGACCCACCTACCTGGTTCAGCAGTGGCAGAGATATTTAGTCCCCTTTATAAAGTCTATCCCCTTTGGGCAGCTTGGAGAAGTCACAGGGGAGGGGGGATTCCATTGCCTCCCTTTTGCATTCTTTTCTTTCTTTTTCAAAAAAGTTTTTTATTGAAGTATAATAAACACACAATAAAATAGATACAGCGTGCTTATCTCAAGAGTCTAGCTCAGTGATTTGATTTGATTTTTCGGTGGCTGGTCAGTACAGGGATGGAACCCTGGACCTTGGTGTTCCAGCACCGTGCTCTAACCAACCGAGCTAACTGGACAGTCTCCAGCTCAGTGACTTTTTACACACCGATGTACCCACCACCCAGTAAAGATACAGAACACTTTTTAGCATTGCAGTAAGTTCCCTCATATCCCTTCTGAATCATTAACTCACTTAGGGCAACTGCTTTTGACTACCATCATCATAGTGTGTTTTTGCCTGCTTATATCTGTATCATAAGGATAGAGCAATGAAGAACATACATTTTTGTGTCTGACTTATTTTGCTCAACACACTGTGTGCAAGGGTCATCCTCAGTGTGGCATGTGGAAGTAGTTTGCTCTTTTGCATAGTTGTACAGGATTCTGTAGTGTGAAAATGCCACTGATTACACATCCATTCTGCTGTTGGTGGACTGCTGGGTTGCTCCATGTTTGGGCTCTTGTGGACAAAACCGCTCTGCACCTCTTGAACATGGCATGTGGTGGAGGACTATCCACATTCTCTTGGATAGACACATAGGAGTGGATTTCTGGGTGACCTGCACTCTTTCTTAATGCAACCTTCATGGTTTTGTCCAGTTTCTCCAGGACACTCTGGACGCTCTCTTCAACATCATGATGGAGCATTCTCAAAGTAATGAGTATGACATCCTCGTCTTTGATGCTTTGGTAAGAGAGAGGGGACAGACGTTTAGTGACATTAGGTAACAATGTGTGTCTCACTGTGAAAAGAATGAGAACTTGTGGCCCTTTCCATGAATTCGTTGGAGTCCTTGTAATGTTTGGCAACCAGACCAATGAATGAACTGCTGCTGTTTCTTTTTGTTTGTTTCTAGTTCATTTGAAAACATGGGCCAGAGTAGGTGAAAGGAGAATTTTAAGTGTTTTCTGTCAGATTGACACTGGTTGAAAGTACATGAGACTGGATATTGTGAATGATTGCTTAGGCTTTCCATGAATGCCAGGCCTAGTCCTTGGCTAGGTTGCAAAACACCCAAAATGTTTCCTAACTCTCCTTTGACCTTCTCTTCCTCGTGTCCTCCAACTCACCTGAGCTGTTGCACTCCTCCTGCCCACCCAGAACTTTTCATGGTGGTATGCCATCCAGATCTTTCTTCCTTCCTCCTCCCAAGTGGTCTCTTCCTCCTCTCCCTGTCACAGCTCACATTTTCTCAGTATCATGTCAAAATAAACGTAAGAAAATCTACATTAGGGTATCAGTGCCCAACAAAGTCTTTATGTATTAATCCCTTGTGTCACAGACATTTGCATTTTTNTATCAGTGCCCAACAAAGTCTTTATGTATTAATCCCTTGTGTCACAGACATTTGCATTTTTGAAGAGGTTACATGGAGATGACTGTGGCTTAATTAAGTGCTTCCCAAGAGGGCCCCCTAGAATGCTAACCCTACGGGAAAGATGCCTCATGACAGAGAGATCCTTTGATTAAATAACTGAGGGAAGTGCTGAATGTTGCATGACTCTCTCGGAGATTCACAATGCACTTAAGTATATTAAAGTCTTTGAAAAGTTCTGCAATAAAGAAGTCAGTCAAATGATGATAACCTGAGATTTCTCAACTTATTTGACCATGAAATCCTTTTATCTTATAACACCCCACAGCACACCTCATGAAACACTTTTTGGGGAGATGCTACTTAAATGAGAAGGACTAACTATATCTTAGTGAGCTAACTCCTGGGCAAGAGAATTTTGATGGGGGTTTAGTTATGCCAGGTAAATATGGCTTCCTGCCCTGGACTATGTCTATGACACTAATTCCTTGCATCTTCCTCAGATCTACATAATAGGACTCATTGCAGATCGGAAATTCCAGCATTTTAACACTGTTCTGGAAGCTTACATTCAACAGCATTTCAGTGCTACGCTGGCTTACAAGTAAGTAACTGTGCACACTGGGATTTCTTATTCACCTCTTACTTGCCCTGCTAGGATGCCTAGGGCACAAGGAAGTTGAATAATTTCTTTTAGTATGTGTAAATACTCCCTTTTCTGACAAAATCCAACCCATGCTTGGGTAATTTGGATATCAATAAGAATATGCAAAACCTATAGGTTGGGATGAATACTTTATGGTAGCAGTAGTACAGGGAAGTGTTCATTCATTCATTCATTCATTCAGCTAGTCAACCATCATTTATTGAGCAGTTACTTGTGGTAGACACCAGTACTCAAAGGCTAGAGAGAAAGAAGTGCACATGCCAAGTAGCTCAGTGTAGCTTGGGTACTGAAAACTGAGGGTTAGGGATGGAGATAATGCTAGAAAGTTTGGTGGGGGACGAATTTGTGAAGGGGCCTAGAAAGGTAGGCCAAGTAATTTCAAGTCTGCCCTACTGATAAAGAAGGAACATGAAAAGTTTCTAAGCAAGGGAATTCCACAATATCACAAGAACATTTTCTATAGAAAGAAAAAGTTGAAAAAGACATTATCACCATGTTATTCCCACTCATAGCCTGATTGCGACTAGTTTTCCTAATCAAAGATTTTTTTCCTCACTAATTTTTTATTTGCTGGATTTTTATGGGCAAGAAATACCTATTCATTTCCTATAATAAATATGTTTTTAAGGCAGTGTTATTTTTATGCTTGCAAATGAGTGAGTGAGCTTGGCTATCCCACCACCTTTAACCTTTGATTGAATGCTTTATAATTTACTGAACAAACTAATTACCACACTGTGGGATAAAAAGATACGTGTTTTGAAAACATTATCCCTTATTCAGGAAACTGATGACAGTGCTGAAGACGTACTTGGATACCTCCAGCAGAGGGGAGCAATGCGAGCCGATCCTAAGAACGCTGAAAGCTTTGGAATACGTGTTCAAGTTCATTGTTCGATCGAGGACGTTATTTTCACAGTGAGTTCTTGTTATATAAAAGTGATTGATCAGCTCTGCAACTCCTCTGACATACAACAGTATTTGTACTGTAGGAGAAATTCTTTTATAAAATTATAACCAGCTCAGCTGTCGATCAAAAACAACTTAAGAATCCAACCTAGAGAGTTATAAGTATGTAATAATTGTACCCTCTAAGTTCATTTGGGGGTTAAAAAAAAAAAGGAAACCTTAACATTTTGCAGAGTTATGTTTCATCCAATGAATGTGATTTGTGAGTTGAAGCTCTTCTGTGTTTCATCTAGCATTCTTTATTTGATATGAAATATGGTGAAAATTTTCCAGAAATCTATATTTACCATTAGAGGAGCTGGCAGCGAGGAGAGCAGTACTCAAGGAGTTTGACATTTATTTGGCTCTAGTAGCTTGTGCATGGCAGAGGAGCTGGTGTTTGCAGTTGACCTGTCTGTCCTTGAGATCTTAGTAGCCAACAAGTAAGCTGACCCGTTAGAGCACTTTAAGAGATTTTGATGGTCAGTGTCACCGAATTTAACTGCCTTTTTGAAGGAATTTGGAGATGGAGACATTCAAATGCAATCCACCAAAGAACAATTTATGTTCATCCTGGCTATAAGGCAAGGTTAGATAGGATTGGTTGTGTGTGTGATCAGGTTGGTTGTGTGTGATGGGAAATAAGAAAACACAAACAAGAAATGTAGTGTCTGCGTTCTTATCAGTGCAAATGAAGAACACTCAAGTGCAATTGACTTAGGGGGAAATATGACTTTATTTTATTGCACCTTATTGAAAAATCCTGAACATAGATTGGCCTCAGGCATGGCTGAATTCAGATGCTCAGTGTAGCTTTAGATCTTGGCTTTGCTTTCCTTTTGTTGATTGCTTTCAGAGGCACATTTTCCAAAGTAGAGACCACTAGAAGATGTAGGTTTATATTCTACTAGCTGAAGCAATCCTAGATTCCTTGTTGTTTCAGCAAAATCCTAAGACAAAAGCTGTCTTGGGTCATGTGCTAAGGTCTGAATCAAACAATGTGGCCAGAGGGAAGAATATGCAACTTGTGTAGTTGTGGTCACATGTGCCCCTCTGGAGCTGTGAGTCAAGTCAGCCACTTATGGTATGGTCAGTCTTGGGAGAGATTGATTTCCCAAAAGAAGGTTGAAGTCTGTAACCATCACTTTGATCATGACAATGGATGGACTGCTAAAGCTTTATACTTGGCAAGACGTCTGAAACGGATAATGATTTAGGATTCTCCTAACACACTCTTTGAGATTTCAGATGATGAGTGTGTCTTGAACCATGCCATGAAACAAACATCACTTAGGTTATTCTGAAAGTGAAGTATCTGTTTCAATTTCTTTGGCTTGTCAGTTAGTTAGTCAAGTCTTAGCTGGAATATTCTTCCAAGTTCAAGAGATACTTATCAATTTTTTGAAAACCAGTAGGAGACTCCAGTGAGTCTTTCTAAGAGTTGAGTTTCTCGGGGGACATTCAAGTATTCAGATATTGTAGTTACAGATTAATAGGCAAAGATATCCCATCTTCCAAGTGAGAACGTTCAATCCATAAGAAGAATGTATCTTTTTTATTTATATCTTCTTCTCCAGTTCTTCCTTTTAGTTTATTCATCTTACTGTTTCTCCTGTATTTCTCTTCCTTCCTTCCTTCCTTCCTCTCTCCTTCCCATTCTTCCTTCGTATCTTTTTTCAACCTGTCTTATCTCTCTTAGTCATTGTCTCTTCCACATGTGCAAAAAAAATACATTTGTATATTTGCTTTCTTCTCCTCTGCCTCAATGAATGTCATCTTGCAGAACCCCTAACTCTTCAATAAGTGTAAATTCAGTGCTGCTGGAGTGCTAAGTGACTTTTGGTTTCTTAAGGAGAAGGTGATTTGTTATTCCTTGCTAAGTCCCCAGCATAATATAAAGAACATCGCTGACATTTGGTCAGGAGAGATGTCTCTAAGGCAACCCAGGCCTAACCTTGAATCTTTTCCCATGAACAAAAGTGTAGGCTGACCTGCAGAGGTCTAGGACCTCATGCTAGGAGAAGGTAAGTTTTGTGTGTGTTGTTCATTTTAGAATCTCTAGCAACAAACTGCTCTCCATTGGATCCTCGAGGGCACTGGGAAGTGGACAGGGTATTTCCCCATACCAGGGTTCAACTTACTTGGAAAACTAGAAAACAGAAGTTTAGTGCTTTGAGATTTCTAAGCCAGCTGGTGGGAAATCAGAACATAATTATTGCTTTTGGGCTTATTGTGTCTGGTATTGTGTTTCTGTTTCCTGTTACTCCTTTGTTCTTTTTCACCATGTGCCTAATTGTAGCTGATCTGGCTCCCATTATTTGTTCTCTTGCCATTTTTTTCCTTGCACATATTGCACATGAACATTTGCAAGGGCTGAGGATTTTCCTGTATCAATATGCAGGATGCAGTTGGGTAAGGAAGGAGAAGAAGTTGTTGAGTAGTAGTGGACTTTTTATTTTATTATTTTTAGGAAGATTTATGTATATTTAAAGCCAAAAAGAGTTAGTTCCTTGTCCTCCCCTTGTGCCACTAGTTCCTGAGTCAAAGTCTGGGGCAGGTGTCTCTGGGCACATGGCTGAACCATAGCAGCAAAGGAAGCTGGCAGAGTAGGTTCTAGCTTCTGCCATAGGAAGGCAGACTTAAAAATATAGAAAATTCCTAAATTATAAGGAGTGTGTCCAAAAGATGCTGTGGTGGCCATAAATATGATCAACACCCACTAGGCTTTTGTAGAATGACTGAGCCCCTGGGAGGTATATAGCATAGTGAGCAACATTCAGAAAGAGTGAGGAGATTATCTTCTAGGTATTGAGCTTCTTTTTTTTTTTTTCCTTTCCTGTGACCAGTAAGGGGATCGCAACCCTTGGCTTGGTGTCGTCCGCACCACCCTCAGCCAGTGAGTGCACTGCCCATCCATATACAGGATCCAAACCTGCAGCATGAGCGCCGCTGTGCTCCCAGCACCGCACTCTCCCGAGTGAGCCATGGGGCCGGCCCGGTATTGAGCTTCTTTACAAAGCCCCTCCCATCCATATACAGGATCCAAACCTGCAGCATGAGCGCCGCTGTGCTCCCAGAACCGCACTCTCCCGAGTGAGCCATGGGGCCGGCCCGGTATTGAGCTTCTTTACAAAGCCCCTTGCAGTATCTTTAATCCTGAAGCTCAGACAGCCAGTGGTGCTGATCCCCAGGGTTTCTGAGCCCATATTATTACTTGGAGTTTAGAGCAGCCTGTGCTTCCCTGTTCCACTCCATGGACACTGAGGAGTACCCCTTTCTACCAGCCAGACACATAGAAATGAGACTGCAGAGCTTCCACAAGAATGGCTCTCAAGGAGAGGAAATCCAGAGCATGGTGCTGCAGTAGGATTTGCTCCTTTTGTTCTTTATCAATCCTAATGCTGCCACAGGCTAGAGCAGAGGAGAGAGTGTGAAGTAATAGTTCACGCTGGACAGACCTTGGAGGAAGTGATATTTCTGTCCCCGTAAGTGCCTGGCTTAGTAAGTGACTAGCCTCACTGAGCCTCAGGTTCCTTATCTATAAATGGGGATAAACTAGCTTTTAGTGTTTTGTTGATAAAATGAGGTTATATGTACAGTGTTCCATGCAATATCTGGTACTTATCCCATAAATGTAATAGATGTTAGCTGTTATCATGTTTTCACCTAGGAGAGACAGCAAGGGTGCGTGTTTCAAAAACTCAGATTTAAATTGTTAAAAGAACGTTCTGGTGTCCTGATTTATGCTGAGAATTTGACTTACTGTTCTTGCTATCCTAAGCATTTCTTGGTGTTTATTTTTGGGGAGGTGGGGATACCTTTCACCACGTGTCTGTGCTTTTTGAGGACCACCATATGGGGACTTTCCTGTGCTTTTTGAGGACCACCATGTGGTCTCCTGCTGGCCCCATTGGATGGGTCCTGATTCTGTCTGCTGCTTGCATTTCCCTTCTGAGCGCACCCTGGCCCCTCTATCCCGAGTAGCTGCTGTATGCAGTTCTATGGCCCCTGCACGATATGCCTGTCTTTTCTTTGTATCTTGCCTTCAGCTCTCCTTAAAGACCTGCTCATTCAGTTTTTGCTTCCTCCTCTTCTCAGTGTAATCCCAGCCTCCTGGGTCTGCTCTGCCTTCCACCAGCCCCCATCCCCACCTTCTTGGTTTATGAGAGGCTCACTGGTTAAAGGTACTGTCTCCAGAACCAGGCTACTTGGGTTCGAATTCTGAGTCTGAATCCTACTATTACTGTTTACTAGTGTTTATAACCTTGGGGAAATTATTCTGCCTAAAGCTCAGTTTCCTTATATGTAACAGAGGCAGAATAATAGTACCTACCTTACAGGGTTGTTGTGCAGACTAAATGAGCTAATGGCATAAGACACTTAGCACTGTGCCTGTCACATAGCGATTGTCCACAGTTATTATTTACCTGCTAAGCACATTTTATGCATTACCTCCAGCAGTCTTCACAAAAGTCCCGTGGAGAACCTCATCTCTGACTTCATCTCCTGCTGCTCCTCATTCACTCTGTGCCAGCCACACTGGCCACCTTGCTGTGGCGCGAGCTTCTGACTTAAGGCCTTCGCACCCTTCTCCAGAGAGCTGCTTACTATCCCCTCCCCTCTTTCACATCTTTACTCAAACCTCACTACCCTATTTAAAATTGCAGCCCCCGCCCCAGCACTCTTGATTTCCCTTTCTCTCACTCTGCTTTTTGTCTTTTGTTTTCCTCCCCATAGAACTAATTACATGTTAGCATACTATATAATAATTAATTATGCTTTTGTTTACTGCCCCCTCCCTGCTAGAATGTCGGCTCCTCCAGTCTAGGAATCTTTGACTGTTTTGTACCCCGTTGTATCCCAAGCATTGGGAGCAGCACCTGGAACATAGTATGTACTCATTCAGTATGAAACTGGACACCATATCTAGCCCCCTTTCACAGATAGGGAAACTGAGGCTTAGATCCAGA